GCAGAACAGATCCACTATTCCTTGTTGGACACAGATTCTGTATACCTTATTAAAGAAAATAAATTTGACACGACAGTGTTCCTTTAAAAGAACGGTTTCCTTTTTTCAGTTATCGCTGAAAGAGTAGAAGATACAGCCACGCAAAAACCTTAGAGCAAAAGTTTGACTATAGAGTCAAGGAGTTTCTTGTAGTAGCTGATAACAACCGTAGGGTTTGGAGATTGAGTTGATTACAGCTGTGTATGAAAGAAAGAAAAGCAGGATAAGCAGGCATAGGAGGAAACAAAAACTCCCAAGAGACAGCTTGAAGCTATCCCTGAGAAAAAAACAAAAAGATTTTGAGTGGAATGGTGACTGGGAGGAGGCTAGAAGCTATGGGAAAGGAAACCTTTTCTGTGGGAAAGCTCGAGAGAGTCCAGAGGAAAGCTACATGCATGATTAGAGGTCTAGAGAGCAGGTCGTACAAGGAGAGGCTGAAAGACTTGGGACTGTTCAGCCTAGAGAAGAGAAGACTCAGAGGGGACTTGGTGGCAGCCATGGGGCATGTATCAGTGCCTGGGGGAGCAATTTGTTCACCAAGGCCCCCAGGGGAAGACAAGAAACAATGGGCACAAGCTGATTGAAGATCACTTCAGACTGGAGATAAGGAAAAACTTCTTTACAAGTCGAGTGCCAAGGATCTGGAACAGGCTCCCCACAGAGGCGGTACAGTCACCCACCCTGGCAATCTTCAAAAAGTGTCTTGATGCCCATCTTGCTGGGGTCATCTGAGCCCAGCAATCTTCCCTGCCCAAATGTAGAGGGGCTGGACCCAATGATCTTGTAATGTCCCTTCTAGCCCCTAACATCTATGAACCTATTAAAAAATTTGCCTCCTCACAGAAATAACCTACAGGACCCTAAAAGGGGTAACAGTGTTTAAAGATTGTTTTCATCCACCAGTACATGGTCTGAATGTCTCACAAACAATATTTTTATTCCCATGACAGAACGATGAAGATGGTGAAAACTGTCGGGTGTGAACAGGTACACAAGGAAATCCAGTGAGGGATGTCAAAGATAACCATGCATACGTCTAGGAATAAAATTTACATCTTTTGCTTCAGCTTCAATAAGACCATACCTGCTTTTGCTTAGCACCTACAAACCATTTTCCATCTTTAAAGTACTTTCAAATTCATGTACTATAATCATAACATCGCATATATGAGATAGCCTGCAAACACAGTTGCATATTTTACAGATGCGAAATCCAGGTCGAAATGAAGTAGCATGGCAGAGGCCACAGAAAGAACTGAGTCTGATGTCAGACAGGCCTGACTCCCAACATTGTATTCCAATTACTAGACCAAACTTGTCCACTTTTATAAATATGGTAGTTCCTCTTTTCATCTCCCAGTTTTGCAAGAACTGACAAACAGTGCAAGTGAATAAAATATTTTTTTACAAAGTAATTAAAATACTTATAGGAATGTAATGTATTATTACAGATTAATACAATTATAGGCCAAAGCTTCTATCACCTTCCTTATTGGCACTTTTTTACATTGAAAATGTAGCCCAATATGTCATATTTCTACTATCAAGTAGAGCAAAAATTAATGTGCTAAACCATAGCCTTCTATAGCCTTAGATATTTATTTTCTGACAGAGATCATCGAGGTTATTCTTGTTCTTTCCAAAAGAAGCCACCTTTAAAGTTCAGAAAAAAAATTTAGCATTTCATATAAAAGACAGCAGCAGCAATGAGAGATCCAAGTGTGTGGCGACTGCAAGATCAGACCGCAGATGACAGAACCAATTGTATAGTTCAGTTGGATTCTCTGCCTTTTACACACTTTAGATTTTTTATTGTGATTTAGGTGAATATGGGACAGAATGCCACTAATATTTGCTACTTTATATATGTAAAATTATCAAGACGGAGTTGGAAATTGAGGAATGGCTGAAATAGAGCTAGGATTGAATATTTCATGTGTAACCAGCATGCTTTTGCCCACATTTTAAAAATATTTGGCTGGGATCCAATTAAGTCTGTGCTAAACATGACAAAAACTGACCATCCTTCATACACCCTATGGTGTTTGAGCTCCACATCAAAGGCAGATGAGACACTTAGTTAGCTTGTCATATAGCCACTTAATTTTCAAGCTGCATAAACAGATTTATTGGCTGGCAGATCAATTGTCACAGGTTGCCAATGCAGAAATATGGTTGGTTAAGTAAGCAACTGGAGAATATATGAGTTCAAGAGAAAAGCAAGTGTTGCAGTGCAAATGTAGTAAAGTGTTGTCCAGAACAGCTGTATGTAGTTTCACTGGAGCGAAGTGAATATATACCTACACAAAGGCAGATCTTTTATGCAAAAGAGAATAGAATTCAGGATAACTTTGTTCTCATTAATGGAAAAAGACTCTCCATCAAATCCCAAACCAGCATTTCTCCTCCATCTACACTGGGCACAGACACACAATATATTTACATCAATGCCAGTTACAATAGTGTCCAAAAACAAACAGGGAACCAGCTCTGGACTTAGTTGCCCACAATAGGCTCTATGCAGCACCCTGCCATGAGATGGCAGGGGAGCCTGTAATAGCTTTCACTGAGAGTATGGCTATCCCAAGATCAAGTTACCTTGCTGACATGCACTACCCAGGGATGAACAGGCATTCATTTCTAGTGGTGGAAATTTCTGAGGAATGTCCATAGCTACAAATCTTCCCAGAAGAGGGAGCAGTACAGGTGTTCAGCCTGCATCTGTATCCTCTTCCCTGCTCCCAATGCCTTCCCCAGACCAAGGTGATCCTGGGGCTGTGGAAGATGGGAAGCAGCAGGTGCTGTCTGCCTCTCAGTCCCAGGAGAGTGGAATGGCAGAAAACAACTCCCTGTGGAAGGCATGGGGACTTGGGGAAGGCATGGGGACAGCTGCACTCCTCTTCCCCCCTTCTCTTGGTCTCCAGAAGGGGAAGGGGGAGGGGAGAGAGCAGTGACACAAAGCCTTCCACCAGTCCCCCCAGACCATTCCTGGAGTAAGTTATACTGGACACCCCAACCTGAGGAACAGGCAGGTGGATGCTTCCCTCTTGCCAGTCTATGGGAGGAGAAGGAGGAGTGCAGCAATGCTTCCCATGTCTTCTCCGGACTGGGATGCCCTGGTGTTGAGAAGGCTTGTGTGGGCAGTGGCAGCTTAGCTCCTTCGTGGGCAGAAGGAAGTGACCTATGGGGAAATGCTTGGTCTGGGGTTAGGCCCAGGGGAATTGCTGCTTGACTCCTACTGATCACAGAGGAGTCAGGCATACAGTTATTCATTCTTACAAAAGAAACTCTTTGGCAGGGAAGGTCTTCCAGGTGTCATCCTAAAAGCTGGAAGATCGTTCTCCTGGGTGGGGCATGTTTTCTCCAGGGAACACCTGTACACTGGGAATTTCTCTTGGGAGAGTGGCGATTCTCTCAGTAGAAACATAACGCCCATGAATGGCCCCAATCTGTGCATTTGGTTAAGTTATCCTGGCATATATCTCATAATTCCTGACTTTCTAAGAGGTATATTATGCCAGAATTAAGTCACTTACATTGGTGTGGAACTGAACATCATCTGTCTTTTCCACATTTACACTTGTATAAAGGGAGATTACCTCTGTGTTGATGTGCCACATATCCATGAAGGCATTTATAAATGTGGTCAGAGATCACAGATCATGACTAGTGTATCATTTCTTTATCTTTACCTTTCTCAAATATAATGATAACTGCTTTCTAGAATCTACTCACATTTAGACCCCTTTTTTGGAAATGTAACCTTTACAGGATGTTTACTCTGTTTGAAATATTCCTGATCATGCTTTCCCATGGGCGGGGCATATTCTTTCCTGTAATCCAATTTCTGCATGTCACCAGAAAAATGCTTCATCCTTTCTACTGGGGGTCCCCCCCCCCCGCCACCTGGTGAGAAAATTCCATATTCTGTTTGGAGTCAATAGGCTAACTTTCCACCACATTTCCAGTAGTCCTCAGGCTCAGTTTTAAAGGTATGTTGGTGCCTCTATACTCATGTAATGCAAAAGGGCCAAATCCAGAAAAGGACTCAAGTGCCTGAAGTACAAAATAAGGCAGAATGTAGGAATTTAATCTAAATGAACAATCTGAAATCTTCCCTTCCCCGACCTTCTTCCCACCCAACAAAGAGTGAGTTTGTTGGCTTACCCAAAGGCACAAACTAATAGGTGCCTACGTCTAGGATGCAATTTCAGACTGTGAATCCCAGTCTCATGTTGGCATGAAACTCAGAGAGAGAGAGGCAGGATTTCACAAACACACGTTTTAAGTAGAGTGAGACAAGTGAATGTGCCTTAGAGGTAAAATTAGATTCTGGCCCATAGAACCTATAATGAATGATGAGTGCTGTAACACCTAAATGCTTTTAAATTGTGAACCTTAATGGATGGGAGAGTGTGCACTGGGCTCTGGCTATTCTGTGATGATATAATGGCCTTTTAGAAGTATAACCAGGTAATATAGACATGCCATAGATTTTCTAAAGTATGCTAGGACCCATGTTGAATTCCCCATAGAACCAGAGAGATGTAGTCAACTCCCTTGGAGACTACCCATCCAACTACACTCACTAAAAGAGCACAACCAGTCCAAACATTTTTAGCACGAAAGCAACAATTAACAAGGAAGTTTCTTTTAACAAGGATGTTTCAAGTTTGGTCCTCATTTAATAACATAGTTTTCTTCTTCATAATATTTAAAGGAAAAATAGTTTAAATGATCTATACATCGGTTTATTAAAATTTTTGTTTTGCATTCAAAATACATGTGATCAAACACGTGGCTACATTTTTAAGCCAACATGCAGTGTTTACATTGCTTTTTTGGAGAAAATGGCCACAAAGTAAGATTCACACTAGTAACATAACTCAGCAAATGACCTTTCCTGTTTACAAAAGACGCAATATTTTTTAATCAAAGAATTAAGTTGTTTTTTTTTTTTTCAGAAGAATTAAGAGGAGAGAAGGACCATTGTTCATTGCAACACAACCATAACTGTAGTAGACAGGCAAGAGCTGCATTTGGCATATTTCATCAGATGTGTGTTGCTTACATAAATTGATTAATTGAGGCAAAGGGAACTGTATCGCTACACTGGCTTTGAATGATTTCCCTGGACACTCCTGAAAATGAGATGACATATCTCAAGAGAAGACTTCCTGGTTAAGTCATTTTAAATAACTATATTAAAAACAAATTTGAGTTCACATGCAAGGCCAGATTCTCGATTTCATGAAAGGCCCTTTTACTCCTTTCTAGCAATATAAAGTGATACTACATTGCATTTACATCCTTTTTATGTCCCTCTTTGTACTGCCAGAAAGATGTTAAGCAGCCTTCATGTGAATGAATCAGGCCAGTAAAGTACAGCTATGTCCTACATTGCCAAAAGCATACCTTTTATACCAGAAAAGAGCATATGTAGGATATAATGCTGCCATCCTAAAGATCAGTTTCAGGTCGACACATATTCAAAGCACAGGACTATTTCTGTTTTAATCAAGAGCAATCTGATTAAATCTGTGGTTTTACAAGCAGGGGGAATTAACTAACTGAAAACACATTTATATCAATACAAAATTTTATGATACCGTAAGTTTGGAAACAGTGCCTGTTCTGAACAATTACATCCACTTCACTTGGCCTGCACTATTTGAAATAAACATCTGTTTACATTATGAACACACCGATACATTTGTCTCTGTTGGTTTTATCATAGAAATGCACAGCAAATGATTTTTAAGTGCAAAGTTAAACATTAGATGCTAAAATTGGGAGTATTTTCTTGAGCACTTATTTATGACTTTGCTCTTCGAAAGGAAGTTTTTTTAATTCCTGATCCAACCCCATTGCGAAAGGACCTTTTATTGAAAGACATCTCCAGGTAAGGCTTTAGAAAAGCCAAATCTTCACTCCTGTCCACCTTGGCTAAGCAGCTATTCAGCAGGATGAGACAGTAATCAGATTTCCCATACAGCTGGCAATTCAAATAAAAAGGATTATTGCTCTGAAGATAAAAACACAGACACAAAGATAAGAAAAGACAAAATTATGGATTTGTACATGTGTTGGGACTTGCCCACTGTAAATGCAAAGTGGAAACAAAAACATATTTATGCTTAAAAATGACAAAGATGAGCTATTATTTGCTATAGATGATAAGCACCCACAGGCAGATTTTTATAGCCTCATTGAAAATACAAGGACTGCTTTTACGCCTGTAAGAAACACTGATATTGGTGCAGTTATGTCTACTGCCAGAAATGCGTTCTTTTCAATGATGCTGTCCTGGTAAGGCATGTAAGACATGCCTCTAGGAAACACTACACATTTATTATTGTAAAAGAACAATAGACATTTTTACTGTAAAAAAGATTTCTCAATTAATGATGGAACAGCGATTTCATTATCATTTATGTGAAGTCCATTTAGTTTAAATGGTAGATAACACCTGCACCGCACAGAATTTTGGGGGATTTTCCTACCTTACTACAAACACAATTACAACTAAAGTTTTGATTTAGGGTTTTTAAGAGGGGAATGTAATAAGACTGGAATTATACACATGTACATATATTTATATTCCTTTTATATTATCTCACATTATAAATCTTTAAAAATGTCTAAAATACAAACATGCCAAGGGAATCAAAATAAACTGCAGTATTTTATATCCTTTCATATAAATGGTTAAGTAAATTATTTTATTCAGTTACACTAGGACTCAAGAGAATGATATATTTTAAAATAAATCTACTGGACATGTCTATCTATGTAGAAATATCCCTGCATACTTTTTTTTTCATGTTTTGGGAACTCACTAAATATAAAGCCACAGGATGAACACTTGGGTCCCCACATTAAGTTAATGGCAAAACTTCTTCTGACTTCAACATGCTGGATTTCATCCATTTATCACTATTGATTGAATTCTTTATTATTTATAATAATGTCATTTAGTGCTTAATAGCATTTTCATTCGTAGAGCTAAAAAATTTACAGTGGTGGCTCTTATTAGCACTATATCTTCTTATATAAAGGGAAAAGAGAAGTTCAAGAAGTCTAAATGATTTGCCTAATATCTTTTACTGAGTCTGTGACAGATTCCCATTCATACACCCTATCCACTTATTTTTCCGCAAATGGAAGTGTACTACTTTATTATAAAGAAATGTGATCTGCAAGAAGCAAATCTGCAAGAATTCTCCAGCGGTTCTAAAGATTTCAACACAATCCATACAAGAATTAAAGTAAGTCTATATCGCTATTTTTCTTATGTTAAAGTACAAGGCATTGACATATGTTAAATAGGAAATAATTAAAAATATAATTTAAATACTATATCATATATAGTACGCAACTGCTATAATGACCTGTAATGAAAGAAGGATGCACAAATGGATCATTATAGTCTATGCTATATATGATGAAAGATGAAACAGAATTAAATATTTATGCAAATAAATCATATGCAGAAGAAACAAAAGATTGATAAATAAAACTAATAGGAACATTACATCAATAAAATAAATAACCACAGAAGTAGCTACCATTTGTACTGGTGATAGATTTCCTTAATGAAATGTAGTGATATAAATCGTGTCTGAAAGAAGAAAACTGAAATCTAAACCATGATAAATTTTACAGCTATAAAGAAATACAGAAACAAGAAACAAAGTACTCTAAATAAAATACATTTTAAGAGAGAAATTGGTTTTAGATTCAGAGCAAGACATCTAAATCGAGAACATATTTTCACAATTTTGATAGTAACCTCAAATAAAGTCTAATATTCTTGAATAGTGTTCTAGCAGGGTAATTTTCTCTCATAGTAAGCATTGAAGGAATATTGGTATACATACCCTCAAAATATCCTATTTAATTCTATTTCGAAGTGCTTCATTACAATACTTAGATAAATAATACGGACAGCATTCTATGGTTGATTTGACTGAATTTTTTTCATAAGTTTCTTTTTTAGGGTACTAAAGTACTGGTATAGACTAATCCTTCTGTTACATTAACAACAATGCCTAATATTTATAACTATTGCCAAAGTAAATAAAATAAAAAAAATTAAAAAACTAAATACATGATGCTCAAATAAACAATTATTATGGCTTACCGAAGAAGGGACAATGGGGTAACACCAACACATGTGCATTGTTGAGATCCAGAGAATTAAAATAAAGTGAAACCTGAACAGACGGTAAAGAAAAGCTCAAATTAGATTAATTAATTAACATTAAAATTATATAGATGCATGCATATGCACTCAATAAAATTTTCCCAACACACAATATAAGGTACAGTCTCTTTACCTGATCATTTTTTACCCAGCAATTATGTGCATATATGCAGTTTTATTGCCAAATTCTTCACATTCCCGATCAGTTAATTCCTAGGTGACCATTTTATACCAAGAGTTCAGGAGTGAAAATGTCATCAAATCTGATTTCATTCTGACTAACTGGTCCTTGTTTGGCCTTTTATTCTTGTTAAAAGGGAAAATGGCAAGATTTGCTCAACTGCCATTATCAATTGATTTAATTTAGTATTGCCATTAAAAAGTCTTTCAAGTGAGTTTACTGTTAGTCTATATTATCATGGCACAAAGGATCAAAGGTCTCAAAACTCCATAAAACATGTATTTTAACAAGAGTTTTGCTACTCACTGTAAGCTATATTAACCCTCTGAATGCATCAGGCACTACCTGGGAATCATGGAAAATGTATTTTCAGTTAAAATTATCTTAAAGCTAATTATGCATGGAGACCAGGGAGAATAAATATCTCCTACAACTTTTTTAGCTAGGCAAGTATCCAGGATGTGTTGGTGGGTTGTATTTTTTTCTGAGATATTTAGCTCTAATATTTTTTATTTTTTACAAGCCCAAAAGAAAATACAATAGTAAGACTCTAAAATGAACTTACTTTGCTATAACCAGGCCAAGCCATTGGGACCAATGTTGCACCTCTTATTCATGTGCATATTAAATTGTTTTAGAAACTCAAAGTCTGCCAGGGAAATCCCATATAATCCTTACTATGAATATACAGTGAAATCTCTGTTATCCTGCATAAGTGGGGAATGCCAGGTGCCAGTAATGCAAAAATGCTGATTATCTAACAATACCAGGGCTAGAGCAGGGGGTTTGCAAGTGGTGGTGGCAGCAGCATGGAATGGTGGTTGATGGTGGTGCGGCAGCAGTGTGGCATGGTTGCAGGAAGCGGCGGCACGGTGGTGGATGGCAGCAGCACAGTGGCAGTGGCACAATGCTGGTTAATACAGTATGCCGGCTAGTAGAATGCCAGAAAACAGAGATTTTATTGTAGCTTAGTCTTCCTCTGTGTCAAGTTTTTAAGCATGCTTAAACTTGCATTAAATGCAATTCCAGTTAAGCTACTTGACAGGCAACTTTAAAAATGGGCAGATGACAGTTACATATTAAGAAATTATAGCCCTTTCTACATTTTACAGGTATTGTGTGATTAACTAGTTAATTGTGCAATTACGTGGAGACCAGCTACACGTGCAAAGTAGCTATCACACAATAAAAAGCTCCAACCAGCTATAAAGAAAAACCTTGAAAATGTGTACTAACTTTATAGCTGGTTGCCATTGAGCTTTAATTTGTATATGCAGCAGAGTCTCTAGGATTGTGGTGATCCTCTGGCTCCAGGGGTCTCCCACTTCTCTGGGGCGTGGGGGGGGGGGATGCCCTGGGGAGTTCCTCTGGCCCCAGGGGAGATTATACCTGCAGCAGTTCTCTGGTCCCAGGGGTTTCCTGCACCCCACAGGGCAGAGAGACTGCCACACCATTGATACTGTAGCCCTGGGAGTGCGTGGGGCATCCCCACAGCTGGGAGCCCCTCAAGTGGGGTGCACAGGGCTCCCAGCCATGGATACTTCTCAGTGCAGGGAGAGCCCAGGATTGGGTCCCCGCTGCAGAAGCAATAAGGTGCAATGGGATCTAAGGTGCAACCCCACAATCACACCTCCTGCCATGCACATATAGCAGGGCAGGAGCTGCAATTGGGTGAATCATGCATTAGATCCTATCATGCCTTTAGTTTCATGAGGAGAGGTGGCCTATGTCTGTGTCTAGGGTACAACTAACAGATGTACAGAGATGTGGGATCTTAGGCTTATATTAGAAGCACATTTCTTTCATTTTTTTTGTACTTCTTAGAATTTAATTCTTTTGGACATTAATTTCTCCTATTGCACACATGCATCTTAGACAACTCTCTTCATTAATTAAACCATACTGTAGAACTATGCTTGCAGTACCTACTAGTGTTGCTGTTTGTTTTATTGATGAAAAATTCCCATTAACCTGCTCTGTCAGTCAAAGCTCTATCTGTCCCTTATAGAATGTGGTTTCTAAAGGTGAATGCAGCACTATTTTGCTCTAAATATTTTAGCTGGCACTGTATTTAATAGGGGGAAGTGAACCTTATAAAATACCAGGTTTGCAAATTTATCTGAATCCTTTTTGCTTCTAGGTTGAGAGCTTTTGTTTCTTGTGAGAAAAAAGCCATATTTTCTTCCTTGAGTGATTCCACTGCAAACAGTGTATTTTGATGAAATACTGCCCACTTGGGAAGGGAAAACAACCTCTCTGACCAAACTTATGTAAGTGGGTTACCACATATTTGATTTATATAGGGCACAACAGCAACGAAAGCTGAAGCCAGCTTCTCTGAGGGGTGCAGAAAATACAGAGCAGGTCATGGAAAACCAAGGAAAATTTGACATCTGAAAGAAAAGATCTCAGCTTTGCAACTATACATGGATGTGAAAAAGGATTTTGGCCACCACTGATAAGTGGGAATTCAGAAGTAGACAATCCAAAAGTTTGAACTTCTTCTGACAAATTAAGCACAGCTTTTCAAAGGATATAGCAGACATGTTCTATGCCAAATGTTCCAGAACTTTACCTCTACCTATCAGGAACATCTCTGCATTGTCAAAATTGAATTTAAGCCCATTCCTCTCACTCATGCACACAGAATAGATGAGAATGAATAATACGCAGTGGCAAATTAGAGCAATGAATGCAATAAGGGATATCAAAGTGATTTGCAAAGAAGGCAAGAATCACTATTTTCATTTTACAAATGAAGGAAGTGTGTGGCACAGAAAAGGAAAAATGACTTGCCTAAAGTTATCCAGCACACCTGTGGACTTATAACACTTATACCCATTTAAAAAACCTATTGGGCATCTAACTACTTTTATAAATTTGGTCTCATGTTATCATTTTAAATATGCAGGTTTTCACTGGATTATCCAGAGAGATTAAATGAAAGAAGCTGGTGAAAATTACAAAATGAAAACAAAATTTTCATTTGATCATTTATAATTAAGGGCATTAGTTTAAAGTTTCTGCCCGGCTTTAATTCTGTGGATCATGGCACTGCGGTCACATATTCAATCTCTTTCTTTGACAATAAATGCCTTGCACATTAAAAGTGATAGAAGTAGGTGACAGAAGGAGGTTCTATGAAAAGACTTTGGGTAAGATGAGCAGTTAGGAACAATGGCAAGATTGATCTAACCATTCATCCTTCTGAAGTAAACACATGACGTTCCAGGAAGTACAGTGTTTTCATGTAAGGCCTGAAAATCTGCAACAGTGGTAAAAATCCCATGGCACTCTACAAATAAGTAGAAGTGTGACCTGTGTCCTTGGCTAAAAATATGTCCTCCTCTTAGTGCTATGTACTGTGGTATTCACTAAATATTCACCTGTTATACTCCAGGATTAGGGTTGACATGTCGTCTCAATTATGTATTTGCAACTGCAGGTAATAATGCAACCATACATTATGGCATGGTATGGTATGGTATGGTTACACTATCATAACACCTTGCACTTTAACTATTTGTTCAGCACCTTATGATGAAATGGACTATAGAAATATCAAAGGGAATAATCCCATTTTAAAGAAAGTAGTATGTACATCAGTTATAAAAACTGTCATGAGAACCCTTACTTACTTGCATATTCAGAAGCTGTAGTCATGCATAGGGAAATATTTTCTTTCTGAGTTTATCATCATATCTCAACATGTAGGGCACATCCACACATGCAAGCACGTGAACTTGCAGAGGCTCAAATAGAAGCGGTGCAAATTTGAGCCAGAGCTTTTTGCCTCAGCACACGTGCTTGGACATTCACTTTGTTGTGGAGCAAACTGTGCCACTTGGGGCAAAATAATCCTGCCTGGCTCCTCCTGGATCTGCAGCCAGGGAAAGCTAGAGCCTGGGGCCAGCAACACCTGCTGTCCCCAGCAGTCTAAAAAGCTGCTCTGTCCTGGCCCCAGCAGTACAAAAAGCCACCCTGGCAAGTAGCTCAGCGCTATTTGCTCTCTGGAGCTTCTGGGGCCCAGCCAACGGGTACATGGGGATACTGCCCCTTGTGCCAGCTGGACTGCTGTAGCAGCCCTGAGAGTTCCCTGCACCCTCTACCCACTGCAGAGGTCTGGCAGTGGGGGCTGCTGCCTGGCTGTGACCTGCTGCACACCTCCCAGACCCAGATAAGGACGCTACAGCCAGTAGAGACTTCTGCCCCTCTGGACCAGCTGCCAGTGCACTGTGGCTTCACGGTTGGCCTCTGTGCAGCACTACTGCCATATGTGGCCCCTGCCTGGTCATCAGGGTAGCTATCGCCCGGAAGATGTTCCAGGTGTGGTGGCCTGCTTTGAACTGTTGAAGCATGTCCTCCTGGCCCCATTTGGCCAGGAGGTCAGCCACAGCCAGCTGGGTCCAAGGTGCCAGCTCTGAGCAAGCAGGGTCCTGCTACTGGCCTCCCTAGTGGGAATTCTGGTGTTCCCTGTTGGAAAACTGAAAAATCCCTGATAAAAAAAATCCCAAAGTCACTCTGTAAAATACCCCCAAATCCATGTTCCTCCACAAGTAAAACAAAAGACCACTATAAAGAGAGAGAGTGAGTGAAACAGAGACAGCGATCAGTTGGGCAATGTTTTATTGATATATCTACAGTGTTAAAGCCATGTGGAAGCCTACAAGTGTCTCTATCATAATAATAAAGTGAACTCTAAATACATGCATTCATGAATTCATGAAACATGAATATGTATTTTGCTGCTCTCCCACAGGGGCTATGGCCTCCCAACAGAGGCTATGCCAGCTGCTGCAGCCCCCTGATGGCTGCCCCCCCTGCCCCCCCAGACACCCCAATGGCTTCCCTGCCCAACCCCACCCCCCCCCTGCACCCCCCAACCCCCCTGGCCTCACCCCCCACCCCCGGCACCCACCCTTTTAA